TGACCTGAGCCGAAGGCAGACGCTTAACGACTGAGCCACCCAGGCGCCCCTAGAAATATTTTTAACATATATTCAGCCTCCACTTACTACATTTAGATTCTTTTTTTCTTTTGTCTATTTAAGTTTATTTTATTTTAGTAATCTCTGCACCCAATGAGGCTGGAAGCCACCACCCTGAGATCGAGAGTCCCACGCTCCTCTGACTGAGCCAGCCAGGCACCCCTACATTTAGACCCTTAATTAGAGCACAACATAGCACAGGGAAAGAATATGGACTTAAATTCCAATCCTGTATGATCTCGGAAAGAGCCACCGCTTCATCTTTGATAGGGTGATTGGCTGTCTCCAGATTTGAGCCGTTTGTAAAGCTCCACCAGAGCACCTAGAACTGATGTTTACGGAGGTTGTGGGACATCCAAAATGAGTGAGGCAGAGTGCCTCATATTCTAGATTTTATTCAGGAGATGGTGATAGAGGGGCAGTGTTGAGGGATTTTGAGCATGCGAGACATTTATAGCACTGGGCAGAAATTCCAGTTTCTGCCTGAATTGGAAATGAGTCTCTCTGCTAGTCATCCTGGCCCAAGGGCACCTTAAAATTCTTCGAATCAGGGAGAATGCGATGTCTTTCCTGGTGCCTGGAACAGTACCTATCGTATATGCTCAATAATTATCTGATAAAGAATGGGGTAGGAGTGAGAGGAGGTTAGCGTACAGAAATGAGATCTGCCCCGGCTGCGGCAGGGCCAGCGCGCAGGGATTTTCACATCTCTATAGCAACGCCCGCTTCCACGAGCACCCACAGGGGAACTACAAGTCCCACAAGGCCCCGCGGCTTCCCCGCCCCTAGGGGCAGGGGCGCGGGCGAGCGCGGAACCGGCTTTTCCTCCTTCCTGCAGCGTGATTGGCCCGCAGCTCTGGGAAGCGGCCAATGACTGCGCTCAGGAAGAGCCGCGAGGCCAATATGGCTTCCTGCACCTGGTGACGGTTGAAGAAACGGTGTTAGATCTCATGGAGAAGACTCGGGGCGTCGAGGTGAGAGGGAGAGGATTTATCGTGACTGGGAAAGGGAACCCCGAGAACCTCGCACGCGGGACCGTTCTTTAGGCCTTTTAGCGACGCCTGGAGGGTAGAGAGTGGAAGGATGGATAAACTGAGGTAGTTAGGCAGAGCAGGGCCAGAGGCGATTGGCGTTGCCTTTTGCCCCATACTGCTGGGCCCGACGTCCGGCGAGTAGTTCAGGGCGGAACAGCCTCCCTGGGCTCCCTGGAAAGGGACCTGGGTTCAGGATTTGAGAGCGCTTGCATCTTCTTTGTCCTCCCTTTCTCGTGGTCGTTTCTTTGGGGATTAGGAGGCCAGTGACATCCTGGTGGGACGTGAGGGAGATTAAAGTTTCGTAAAACTACGTGTCTGGAGCGTTCACGTGCATTGTCGCCCAGTTTACTCAACAACGATCCTGTCACTCTTTCGTTGTTATGGTTAAAGTAGCTGAGGCTTACAGACAGGTGGTGACTCCCCAGGAAGGCCACACAGCTGTAAGGTGAAGGAGATGGGCCCTTAGTCTTGCAGGCTCCAAAACTTTCCCCGCTCTCCTACAGCCTGTCACCCACTCGCCCTTGAGTCATTTGGCTTATGGTCACCTTGTATTTAAATTCGGTCTCTTTTCTACTACATTTGCGTGTGTAGTTGTAAACATAAAATGGAGTAGCTCAAAAATTCTGTAAGGGAAACGGAGAATAATAGCCCACGCTTTTAGAGCTGTCACTGACTGCTGGAAACAGAGCTAGGCTTTACATATGTCAGTCTTTATTCTAGTCATCTAAAGAAGGCTTGCTATTGTCTCCGTTGTACTGATGAAGAAACAGAGCAGCAGGGTTCAGTATCTTGCACAAAATCGCAGTTAAGTGGTAGAGCCAGGATTCAAACCCAGGCAAATCTGGTTTGAAAGCCCATGCTTTTAACCGGTAATAATTACCAACATGTATGGAACACTTCCTACGTACAAGTTACTCTTTTGAGTGCTATATCTGTATTAATCCTTATTTCTCCCTCAAAGCTTCTGAAAGAGGTGGTATCCCAAAGATGTGGGAACTGATGCATGGAGAGACTGACTTGCTGCAGATCATACAGTTAGTCAGCAGTAGAGATGGTATTTCAGCCCTGATCTAGGACCTTTTCTACTAAGTGCGGGTAGATTGATACACAAGATCTCATTTACATTTCACATCCTGTGATCTGACTACTTTTCTTATTTCATAGATGAGAAAGTTGAGGCCCAGAGGGGTTAAATGACTTGCCCAAAGACCCACAGCTAGTTAGGATTGAAGCTGAGTCCAGAGCTATGGTACATACCACTATGCTCTAACTAGTGTGTCGTCTGTTTCCCAAACACTCCTTAGGGCAGTCTGTGTCCCAGATAACTTTTCTGTGGCTGAAATTGAAATTGTTTCTGAATTGAGTTTGTTTTGGTGTACATATGCTGAAGGGGGAAGAATGATTTTCTGATTTACATCTTCCCCAGAAAGTCTTCATGAGATAACTTAAGAGTATTTTCACGTCATTGTATTCTATGTGAATCATGTTAAAATGTCATCATTTACAAACCCACAGGAGGAGCTTGGTGAATTCCTAATACATATTTTCTGTCTTGTTAAGCTGTTCTGATGAGTTGCAGTTAAGAATTGTATAAAGAGTAATGGTCCTGGTGTTTGCAAAAGGGGTGTTTGATTCTGCCTGCCCCTTGGCCCCAAGGTGTTGACCAAGAACTGGAAAGGAAGCTGATAGCAGACCTGTATCCTTCTTCCCCGTACACTAAGGCAGACCTGATTCCTCCTGCCTCGTATGTGTCATCCTTCCACTAGGAGACTCCATCTTCAGAACCTATGGAAGAGGAAGAGGAGGGGGAGGACGACTTGGAGCTCTTCGGTGGCTACGACAGTTTCCGGAGCTATAACAGCAGTGCGGGCAGCGAGAGCAGCTCCTATCTGGAGGAGTCAAGTGAAGCAGAAAATGAAGATCGGGAAGCAGGGGAGCTGCCCACCTCCCCCCTGCATTTGCTCAGCCCTGGGACTCCCCGCTCCTTGGATGGCAGTGGTTCTGAGCCAGGTGCTTTCAGAGTGTCCCCTGAAGACGGGGAGGTTTCAGGAGATTATGATGGAAGAGGGGGATATAGGCCATGTGGGCGGAGCTGTCCAGGTGTAAAAGCTGTTTGATCTAATGTCTAAGGGCCTGTGAAAGAGACAGAAGTACCCCAAGTAGCCCCAAGGGGCATTTCCTCTGTTGCAGTCTGATTTCAAACTGCAATTTCCTTTGGTCTCTCATACGACTAATACTTATTTGGCACACATTAGATGCCAGTCATTAATATGGTGCTGCTTTTACATTTGTGTGAATAGCCGGTTGATTTTTAAGCCTGGATGTTGAGAAGGACACCTAAAATGTTCTGATTTACTATCCGGGAAAGGACAAGAAATAGCTTGTGGGTTGGACGTGAGGCGGGGGTGGAAAATATAGAATAAAGTGACTTCCTGGGGAGAGGGTTACTGATGAGAGTCCCCGTAGAGCATCTGGAAGCCAGTTAATTTCCGAGCCGTGCTGCTTGGACAGCTGCTGGATCCCTATGTCACGGCCCCCAGTGTGTGGACTACCTGTGAAGAGAGACAGGCTAGACGTATATGAGGACACTCCTGTTCCTTAGTGCCTGCAAATACTCTGCCACTCGACTCTTTCCATCTACCTGTCTTCTCTTCCTCCCTCCCCTCCCTTTTTTAAATCTTTCTGCCTTCTATCTTCTTCCAACCATTCTCTTAGAATCTTAGAACATTGGAACTAGAACCATCGGAGACCGTTGAGTCCAGGGGTCCTCTGTCATGGCTGTGCATTAGGATCACCTGGGAGCTTTCAACAGACTACAGATGCCTGTGTCCCACCACAGACCAGTTAATTGGAAGCTCAGGCTTGGGTATTTTTTAAGCTCCTCAGGTGATTCTAATGTGATGTCAGGATGGAAACACTGATCTAGTTCAGTCTCTTTATAGATGAGAAAATCCACAGAAGTTAGGTTGGAATAGACACTTTTTTTCTTCTCGTTTTCTTCTTTACAGACTTTCCAACACTCAGCCGTTGCCCTGTGGATTTTCTTTAGCTCCGCTGTTGACATATAGCCGGAGGATGCCAGACAGCTTATCTTAGACAAAACAGATTCAATTGTACACAAACCTGCTCCTGTTCCAGTCCCGTCAGTCTTACTGGGGGCTGGGACTCACCTAGTTAATGCCATTCCAGGTTTTGAAGGGCCCATCATTTTGTTTGATTTGGGGTGATCGTATGAGGTGGGTCACATGCTAAGTTCTCTTCCCAGCTGTCTGTGAGATGTGTGGTATCGTTGGTACAAGGGAAGCCTTCTTCTCCAAGACTAAGAGATTCTGCAGCGTTTCCTGTTCCAGAAGCTACTCCTCCAACTCCAAGAAAGCCAGTATCTTGGCCAGATTACAGGTGAGAGGCAGTCACTTGGAAGACCTTTCCTGGGGTCCTGGGAGCCGAGACAGGAGCAACCAATTGGCTGATGGCAAGGGGCCGAGAGGGCTTGGGAGGAGCTTGTTTGTGGCCTTCTGGGGTTTTAAGTTTCCTGCTATTTATTTAAAATTTAGAGGGCAGAGGAATCCATTTATGGAGCTTGATAAATGACAGATTTCTAGAGCTGCCCTCATTCCCCATCTTCACCCCCTGCATAGTCTGATGTGTTTAGTATGTTTTATTTCTTTTTTTTTTTTATTTTATTTATTTATTTGAGAGAGAGAATGAGAGAGAGAGAGTACATGAGAGGGGGGGAAGGTCAGAGGGAGAAGCAGACTCCCTGCCGAGCAGGGAGCCCGATGCGGGACTCGATCCTGGGACTCCAGGATCATGACCTGAGCCGAAGGCAGTCGCTTAACCAACTGAGCCACCCAGGCGCCCCTGTTTTATTTCTTTTCTTTTTTTTTTTTTTTAAAGATTTTATTTATTTGACAGAGAGACAGCGAGAGCAGGAACAGAAGCAGGGGGAGTGGGCAAGGGAGAAGCAGGTTCCCGCCGAGCAGGGAGCCCGATGTGGGGCTCGATCCCAGGACCCTGGGATCATGACCTGAGCCGAAGGCACACGCTTAACGACTGAGCCACCCAGGCGCCCCTGTTTAGTATGTTTTAAACAAGAGCCTTGGGAGAGTCTGAGGCCCTTGGTTTTTCCCCCCCATACTTTTATAAATGCTCTGAAAGGAAGCTAGGAGACAGGCATATGTTTCACCAACCACAGTGGGTTTAGGAAGTTAGAGCAATCATGGTGGGGAGGGGGGCAGAGGTGGAGAGGGACAGAGAGAATGTTAAGCAGGCTCCACACCCAGCCCGGAGCCCGACTCAGGGCTCAGTCTCACAACCCTGAGATCATGACCTGAGCCAATATCAAGAGTAGGGCACTCAATGGACTGAGCCACCCAGGCGCCCCTACAAATGGAAGGATTCTTAAAGAGATGTGTTGTCAAACCCACACATTAGTTGAGAAGTGTGCTATGGTCCAGAGAGGAAGAATGACCTACCTAAGATAATTCTGTTGGAAGAGCAGCAGAACTGGGACTGGACTGTAATCTCAGGTGCCTGGCTTTGTGGTTTCCTGGTAACTATGGCCACCATCCACAACACTGGTTCTCAAACTCGCCTGCACGTTGGGATCACCTGCAGAGTGTTTAAAATACACTTGGTGAGACTTGATCTTAGGCTACGAGTTCAAGCCCCATGTTGGGTGTAGAGATTACCCAAAAACCAAACAAAACAAAGCCAAAAAAATGAACTTTTAAAAAATAATAAAATATCAATGCTTGGTCTTACTCCCTAGGTTCTGATTTAACTGCGATGGAGTGTGGCCTGGACACAGGGCCTTCATTTATTATTTTCTATTTTTAAGTAATCTCTACACCCAACGTGGGGCTCGAATTCATAACCCCGAGATCAAGAGTCACACACTCGGGGTGCCTGGGTGGCTCAGCTGGTTAAGTATCTGCCTTCAGCTCAGGTGATGATCCCAGGGTCCTGGGGATCTAGCCCCGAGTCACACTCCCTGCTCAGTGGGAGCCCCTCGTGCTCGCTCGCTCTCAAATAAGTAAATGAACAGTCTTAAAAAAAAGGGGGGGGCACATATACTCCACCAACTGAGTCAGCCAGGTACCCCCTGGACATAGGGACTTTAAAAAAGACGAGTAGAGGCGCCTGGGTGGCTCAGTCATTAAGCCTCTGCCTTCAACTAATGTCATGATCCCAGAGTCCTGTGATCGAGCCCCGCATCGGGCTCCCTGCTTGGCGGGAGCCTGCTTCTCCCTCTCCCACTCCCCCTGCTTGTGTTCCCTCTCTCTCTGTGTCTCTCTCTGTCAAATAAATAAAATCTTAAAAAAAAAAAAAGACGTCCCCTCACAGGTGACTGTAATGCATAGCAGAGCTTGAGACCCACTGCTCTGACATTTATTGAAAGTCACAGTGTACCAGGTTTCTGCTTAGTACTTCATACAATTTATCTCTCACTTTTGTGAGATAATTGTTTCCCTTATGTGGATTTTAGTCAGGGCACAGAAAAATCTCTCCTCAGCTAATAATAGTATTGTTAATAGCTACAATTTGGGAGTATTTGCTAAGTGTTTGGACTGAGTCCAACCAATGATCTCTTAAAAATGAATTTTTTTAAATTCCCATTTTAAGATTTTTTTTTAAAGTAATTTCTACACCAAACATGGGGCTTGAACTTAAAACCCCAAGATCAAGAGTTGCGTGCTCTACTGACTGCACTAACCAGGTGCACCTTAAATTCCTATTTTATTTTATTTTTTAATCTTTTTAAAAGATTTTATTTATTTGACAGAGACATAGAGAGAGGGAACACAAGCAGAGGGAGTGGGAGAGGGAGAAGCAGGCTTCCCGCTGAGTAGGGAGCCCGATGCGGGGCTCGATCCCAAGATCCTGGGATCACGACCTGAGCCGAAGGCAGAGGCTTAATGACTGAGCCACCCAGGCTACCCTAAATTCCTATTTTAAAGGCTCAAATATTTTTAGTAACTTACTCAGAGGTATACAAATGAAATTGTAGAGCGAGGATTTGACCCCAGGTCTGTGTGGGATTTAAACTCACATTTTTACTTCATTGATATTTTTAAATAAATTATCTGGTGGCGGGGGGTGGGGGAGGGGCGGTGCCTAGGTGGCTCAGTCAGTTAAGCATCTGACTCGTGATTTGGGCTCAGATCATGATCCTCAGGGTCGTGAGATGGACTGTGTCAGGCTTCGCACTGAGCCTGGAGTCATACTTAAGATTTTCTCTCTCTCAAAAAAAAAAAATTCTCCGCTTCCCTCTGTCCCCTCCCCCAACCTCATTCTCCCCGTCTCTCCCTCCCTCTTTAAAAATAAAAATAAATTCTCTGGGCCTTTCTTAGCAGTGCTTAAGTTACAAATTATAGACCAGATTAGTGGCCTTTCACCTTTGGGGATGCCCCCTTGGAGCACCTGATGAAAGCCACGGACCTGCTCCAGAACATTCATGTATGTGTACAAAATATTGCCTCCTGACTCAGTTCACAGACCTCTCTGAGGCCCACTCTCTGCAATAAGTCTGTAGGAGCACCGGAGGAAGGGGATGGCTGAGTTGAAGCCATGAGGGAAAAGTTCCTGGAGGAAGCCAAGGCTTAAAAGATAGAAAAGCTAGAACAAGCGTCCCTCCCTGCCCTGTGGCTCCTCTGACCCTGTCCTCCCTTGTCGAACAAAAGCTAAGCGCTTACTGAGTGCCGGCATAATACAGTAACTCTCATCCTTGCCACCCCCCTCTGAGTTAAGATTGTTATTGTTATCCACTTGATTTACAAATGAAGAAACTGGAGAGGTTAAATAAGTAACTGGATGAATCCCAGAGTTTGAACCTAGGCGGTCCAACTCGAGAGTCCTGTTCTCAGCCATTGGGTAACGCACATGTTCTCCTCCCTCCAGGGAAAGCCGCCGACCAAGAAAGCCAAAGTCCTCCACAAGGCAGCCTGGTCTGCCAAAATCGGAGCCTTCCTCCACTCGCAAGGGACAGGACAGCTAGCAGATGGGACACCAACAGGGCAAGACGGTGAGCCAGCAGGGCACTGGTGCTCAGGAAGCTGCTGGGGGTCGGTGGGAGTGGGGTGCCCATCCTGGGGGGGCCCTGCCTAGGAGCCAGGAATGGGAAAGATGGGGCAACTAGAGAGTGCCCTGGTCCAAGCTCACTGTGGATTGCATCTTCCCCATCAGTAGGTGGTGTGGAAGTTACCCCAGAGAATCCCTTTAGTCATTCCTAAAGTGCCAGGACCCCTACTCCTGATAATTCAGAAGCCAAGAATTAGCTTCTTTTCTCTTGTATTGCTTTTGGCCCTTTGGCTTCTGTTTCCCTTGGACAGTGAAGACCCCTCTCTGGTTTGGAGAGGGGCGGTGGGGTAGGGAAAGGAACCTTTCTCTCTGAGTGTGTATAGCAGTTTCTAAACATACAAGCATTAAGCAACTCTGCTTTGGGTGGTCTGAGTTTCTGACTGCAGTTGAACTCCACAGGCATGAGGGTTGGAGGGGCCTAGGTGTGCACCCCTCCCACCCATTCAGATAAGCTGTGGCCAATGAGAGGCTGGGGGAGGTCTAAGGAATTTCAGCCCAAAGGTCTTTGGATTTCCTTCTCTTTTCTGGGGAAGAAAGATCAGACACTCCCCTTGAATGTTTCCTCCACTCCTGAGAGTCTGTCACCCTTTGGATAAGGTCCAGCCCTGTTCTGATGGCCACTGACGGGGCAGGTAGGGGGCTGCCCCGGTGGGGAAGGACCTGCTTCTACAGGCTCCTGGGGCCCAGGTTCCTAGCAGGGCTGCTGACTTTCAGCTCTTCCTCTTTCTGCTCTGCAGCGCTGGTCCTGGGTTTCGACTGGGGGAAGTTCCTGAAGGATCACAGTTACAAAGCTGCTCCCGTCAGCTGTTTTAAGCACGTGAGTGCCCTGGAGATGAGGGGAGGGAGAGCTGGGAACCTGGGCGCATGCCACCCCTCTCACCCGCCAGCCTCCCAAGCGTTCCAGGCTGGGCATTGGCACCCCGGAGAGAACAGTGGTGAGGTCTGGGTGGGCGCAGTCCAGCTTTGCCACTCGCTCTGGTTTACCTTTCTGTCCACCTTTCTTCAGCATCCTCCCACAAAGCCTCATCCAGGCCTTCTAGCACCGTGCGTCCCTCTGAGGTCATTTTCACTATGCTTATTTATGTAATGGAACTTTGTGCTAGAAATCCTTTTCTTTTTTTCTTTTTTATAGAAATCCTCTTCTTCTGTCTTCCCCATTGTTCCGTGTTTTCCCACTGAAAGCTTGTTCTGAACTGCCCTGGGCCCTTTGGGCCTTGGGAGGCAGATGGGGATCCTCCTGGAGCCCACTTCTGCACAGAGAAGCACAGAAGAGTGAGGTCCTGGGGGGCTGGGCCTGGAGTGGAAGGACAGGCAGAGATGCTTCCCGTTTTCTGGGGGCCAGGGAGCTGCCCAGAGTGGTGCTCCTGTTTGGTCTTTCAGGCCAGGAAGTGGAGGAGAGCAGGCCTCTTTACTCTTGGAGCCCTCTGGCCAGAGTCCCATCCCAGTAGCTGCTGAACTCTGGGGAGCGCCACGGACAGAGGAAAGTTGGGAAGTTTGACTCTCTTCCCCGCATTGCTGTTGAAGGCGCACACCTTCCCTAGTGGGAAGCTCTTTTGCCCTGAGTTTTCACTGCAGGGGAGTTACATTGAACTTGCATTCAGCATACCTGATTCCATAGGCTCTGCCACGCCGGCCCTTGTGTGCCTGGGTAGCATAACCATTTCTCGGTTCTTCTCTGGCCAGAGAGATGGAATGGGATACCCCGATGAGCTTAAGCCAGGATGAGAATGAAAAAAATGGTGAGTTTCTCCAAAGGGGAATCCAGGTGCTGTTGGTGCAAAGTGAGGATTAGATACAGGGAAGGCAAGCAGGAAGGGTCTGCTGCTGCTGGAGAGCATCTGAAGAGGAGAAGACCGGTTGGAGAAGTGGAGAAAGAATATACCAGAAGTAGTATGTGAGAGCCAGCATGGTGATGGCTGAGAGACTACTGCCCAGGCTTGAGTGACGATTGAAGGAGGTGGTATTTGTGCCGAGGATAGTCCCTGGCACGTGGCGAGCACCAGGCAGTGTGAGGTGTAGTCACTGGATGATAAGAGTGAGGAGCTGGGGTCCTGTGAGATCAGCACTCAGGGCTGACTGACTCTGGATGTCTGGCTGTTGCCCCCACCCTCCCGTCCCGTCCCCCCCAACCCCTCCCGTCCTGCCTCTGCTCTTCAGGGGCGGCGGACTCGTCTTGCTCCTCTCTTCATCCCTAGTCCCATGCCTGGCTGGCCGCATGCAGCGAGTGATGTGCACCGAGGTGCCGAGAAGGACGCCAGGGCTCATGAGGCCGGCCGCTCTCCCCTGTCCGCTCGGGCTGCTCACCGTCCCCCCGAATGCTCTCGTGCCCACACAGGTCCCACTCTATGACCAGTGGGAGGATGTGATGAAGGGGATGAAGGTGGAGGTGCTCAACAGCGACGCCGTGCTCCCCAGCCGGGTGTACTGGATCGCCTCTGTCATCCAGGCCGCAGGTGGGTGCTCCTCTGGCCCAGGCAGGGCCTGGGTCCGGAGGACGACCTCTCCACGTGGGGGGGGCAGTATCGCACACGCAAATTGGCTTCATGAAGCAAACAGAAAAGTCCACCCCCTGGAGTTCTGCCAATCCCTTCCTTGGGATTCTCCTACGTTCCCTGGCTTCGAAGAGGCCACAAAGCATGGCAAGTGTGAAGTCCCCTTTTTAAGGTTTTGTTCCAGGAACGATCAGGCTGCAGAAAGTTCATTGCCCCCGCTGTGCCGTACAGCTTTCCGAGTGCGCGACGTGGGTTTGTCGTGCCCACTTGCCCGGAAGGGGTTCTTGGAAGAGGAGTCAGGTTTAGGCTTAAGAAGAAGGAAGGCCTGAGAATATACCTTTCCCCATCCCGCCCGCCCTCACCGGTGCCCCCTTCCTTTCAGGGTACCGGGTGCTCCTTCGGTACGAAGGTTTTGAAAATGACGCCAGCCACGACTTCTGGTGCAACCTGGGGACGGTGGACGTCCACCCCATTGGCTGGTGCGCCGTCAACAGCAAGATTCTGGTGCCCCCGCGGAGTGAGTTGATGAGAATGTTCCCTGTTGTGGTTCGTGCAGAGCCCTTGGTAGAAGGGGCACCCTTTGTCTTAGGTTAGCCCGGAACAGAACCCACTTGCCAGCCTGCTTCCTGTCCACTCCGGTCTCAGAAGCCCCGTGGCAGATCCAAGTTGTACAGCGGGCTTTATTAGATGTGATGGCTGCCCTGAAGAGGCAGAAATAAGTTGCTCTGGTGCCCCCTGTTGGTGGGAGCGTTGTCAGTCTGTGTAACCAGGATTCTGCTGTGTCTCCACAGCCATCCATGCCAAGTTCACCGACTGGAAGGGGTACCTCATGAAACGGTTGGTGGGCTCCAGGACACTTCCCGTGGATTTCCATATCAAGGTCTGGCACTGAGCCCTTTGGGTCTCCTAACTGATCTCCTTCCTGCCCCTCTTCCATTTTCTCTGTCCGTGCTACTCACTGGGAGTATTTTCTCAAAGACTCCCTTGCTTGCCAGTCTTTAGCAGCTCCACGTTTCTCCAGGAAGGATGTCGGTTGCCGTCCGCCTTCCCAGCCTAGTGGCAGCCTCCCCGACTCAACCCAGACTCTGACCCTGCCATGCTGATCACGTTGCTCTGTCTCCTGTTTGCTCCTCCAGAGCCTTACTTTTGCTCATAGCATTTTTCAGGAGCATTCGTCCCACAGATTTTATTAAGTACTTGTGTACAAGGAACTGTGGGAATACAGACCCTGTATTCAGGACCCTCCAGTCTGGCAGAGGAAACAAAGTCAAGCACAGGAATATAAAATAGACTGGGTTCTCAACCAGGGGTGTGTCTCTGAGTCATCTCTCTGGCTTTTAATTTTAATTTTGTAAAATTTAGCTCCTTAACTTAAAAAATCACACACGTGGTTAAAAATTCAAAGAGAATACAAGGATACATAGTGAAGACTTCGTTTCTCCCACCTCTGTACACCAGACCCTCTGTTGTGGGGCTCGCTCACATAGGGGCCTGGACTGCGTCTAAGGTCTCCGGACCCGGATGCGCACAGGTGCGGTTCTCAACGTTGCCTCCGCAAGCGGCACAGCAGCAGGCGGGACACAGAGCGGGTGCTGCTGTGGCACGTGGTTGAACTGGCCCTGTGGCCTGAAGAGGAGCAGCTTTCAAGGAAGGCTTCAAGGAGAAAATGGCATTTGAATTCTGCCTCGATGGGTAGGGTTTGGGTGGTCTGGAAGCCAAGAGTTTCAGAAAGTAAGGATGGAATAGAAGCTGGGGCCATCTCATCCAAGGCACCGGACGCCTGGTGAAGAGGTTGCCACCGTGAGTCTTAGCTGGTGGAGAGTGGGCCTATGGCAAGGAATGGTTCCAGCACCTCAAGGAAGCTTTCCTTGGCTTTTTTCCCTAAAGTAGAAATGATTTTTGCTTTAGTTGAACTTGCTGGGTACTGTCCGTTTACTCTTTATTTCTCTGTATTTTGCTAATTTATCTTTTCATACTCTCTTTTTTTTTTTTTTAAAGATTTTTTATTTATTTATTTGAGAGAGAGAGAGAATGAGAGAGAGAGCACGAGAGGGAAGAGGGTCAGAGGGAGAAGCAGACTCCCTGCTGAGCAGGGAGCCCGATGTGGGACTCGATCCTGGGACTCCAGGATCATGACCTGAGCCGAAGGCAGTCGCTTAACCAACTGAGCCACCCAGGCGCCCTCTCTTTTTTTTTTTAAGATTTCATTTATTTATTTGAGAGAGAGAGAGTGATAGAGCATGAGCAGTGGGGAGAGGGAGGGCAGACGCACTGCTGAGCAGGGAGCCTGATGCGGGCCCAATCCCAGGACCCTGGGATCATGACCTGAGCCGAAGGCAGACGCTCAACGGCTGAGCCACCCAGGCAGCCCCATACTCTCTTTCCAACAAAACTGTAAGCTCTTTCTCCTGTTCTCATAATGCCTTGCACAGGGGACAGATTGAGCAGTTGAAAACAAGCGTTCACTCCTTCTCCCCTGGCACTTGTCTGAAGATGAGGTAGCTGATAGTGGCTGGTGCAGCCACTGGCGTTATCAAGCTGGCCTCTCCTCTGCTTGAATTAAAATGAGCTTGATTCCGGGGCACCTGGGGGGCTCTGTTGGTTAAGCATCCAACTCTTGATCTCAGGGGCATGAGTTCAAGCCCCACGTTGGCCTCCACGCTAGGCATGGAGCCTACTTAAAAAAAAAAGAAGAGCTTGATTCTGGTTCCATGTGAACCAGTCAGCAAGCACACAGTGACTCACTGTCATGTACCCAGTCCTGCAGCGGATACAAAAGCAGCTGCCTCTGCGGATTGGGGGTAGGGAAGGTAAAAGGGGGTGGGTTTGTGAAGGAAGCTCTAATCCAAATCCAGTCTGGTTCCTTTGATGCCTACAATGTGGTAAGTGCTGAGTAAAATGTTTTGAATGAATGACCCACTGGCCAAGGTCAGGTGTGTACTATGTGTTTGTCAAGGAGAAAAAACGTTGACTGAGCACTAACTCTGTGCCTAGTTCTGTGCTTGGAACTGAGATGATCGAGATGAATCCTCCCAAACCTGGCTTCTACCCCTACGGAGCTCACGTTCTGGGCGTGACTGAACAAAGAGGCCATGAAAGTGGTGTTGGGCTGTGGGCTGCCCTGGGTGGGCGTCAAAGAAAGGAATGTGTCAGCAAAGGCTAGGAGAGGAAGGTGGCCCAGAGGGACCCCAACCCAGGCCTCACCCTGTGTCTCTCTCCCAAATGGGCCAATCAGGCAGTCGGTTTGGACTTGTATTCCAGGCCTTGAGCAGATGTCTGACTGGTCTGTGGTTTAGGAGTCTTACCAGCTTTGCCTGGTGTCTGCTTTGTGACCTTGGAGATGCTCCCCCTCCTGGTGGGCTTTGAAATAGCACAGCTTAGGGACCCCTGGATGTCTCAGTCTAAGTGTCTGCCTTTGGCTCAGATCATGTGTGCTCTCTCTGACAAATAAAATCTTTTTTTTTTTTTAAAAGATTTTATTTATTATTTATATGACAGAGAGAGGCACAGCAAGAGAGGGAAAACAAGCAGGGGGAGTGGGAGAGGGAGAAGCAGGCCTCCCACCGAGCACGGAGCCCGACACAGGGCTTGATACCAGGACCCTGGGATCACGACCTGAGCCGAAGGCGGATGCCTAATGACTGAGCCACCCAGGCGCCCCTGACAAATAAAATCTTCTTTTTTTTTTTAAGATTTTATTTATTTATTTGAGAGAGAATGAGAGAGAGCACGAGAGGGAAGAAGGTCAGAGGGAGAAGCAGGCTACCCGCTGAGCAGGGAGCCCGATGTGGGACTCAATCCCGGGACTCCAGGATCATGACCATAGCCGAAGGCAGTCGCTTAACCAACTGAGCCAGCCAGGTGCCTCTGACAAATAAAATCTTAAAAGAAAAAAATAGCACGGCTTAGTCCCCACCTTGCCTAGGCTGGGGCTGGTTTTCCCTGGCTGTGAAAGCCCTACAGAGCTCACTGTTCCCATTTCCCTACCCCAGGCAGGACAGCACTGAGGTCACAGTGACCTGAAAGACTCTCCTACCCCCCATCCGTGGCCTGTCATCAGGGCTCTCTAGAACATCTTATGGGCATCTTGGTCACCGTCCCTTGCTGGGTCAGTGGATAGCCGTTCAGAGTTGCAGCCCAGTGGGTTCACAGCTGTAACGACATAGGGAGGCACCGGGGGCCTCAGCTCTCTGGACATTAGAGCCGTATGTGCCATCAGCCGGGAGGTGGAGGGCGTGGGAAAGCGCACAAGGCTGGACGCTGGGACCAGTTTCGAGGTCCAGCTCTGGCACCAGTGAATCTGGGTGAGCCTAGGCAAGTCACTTGAGCCCTCTGGGGCACCTGTTTCCTTCGTCTGCAAGGGGTATTTGTACTAACCATCACACTGACTGACTGGCATTTTGGTGCCCACCTTGTAAGCTGTGTGCTGTCCTTCCACATCATCCTGGGGAATTGGGGGCCAGGGTCGAACCTGGTGGGATGGGAGGGCTCATCTGCCCGTTTCCTGACTCAGGGCTGGGTGCAGTAAGAGATGACACAAGGAGGGTGGGGGAGCCCCAGGACCACAGCAGGCCTGTGCTCTGATGTTGCAGATGGTGGAGAGCATGAAGTACCCCTTCCGACAAGGCATGCGGCTGGAGGTGGTGGACAAGGCCCAGGTGTCCCGGACCCGCATGGCCGTGGTGGACACGGTAATCGGAGGTCGCCTTCGGCTTCTCTATGAGGACGGCGACAGTGATGACGACTTCTGGTGCCACATGTGGAGCCCCCTGATCCACCCAGTGGGCTGGTCACGGCGAGTCGGCCACGGCATCAAGCTGTCAGGTCTGCTGTCGGGGCCGGGGCGGGAGCGGCTCTGCACCCCACAACACCACCGTGTGGTGGGGGTGACCACCTCCAGCATGTGCATGGTGGTACCAAGGTCCAGAGCAGTTGCATGATTTGACCAAGGTCACTCAGTTTGTAAGGGTTTTAAACCGATTGGAACCTGGAGGTTACATGATGTGGGAAGCGTCTGGATCTTACGGGTTCAGTAGTTCCTACAGAGAGCTCCGGACGTGTTCTGTCTTCTGGTCTAGGTGGGGGGCACGGGGTGCCAAGATACAGATTAGAGCACATGCAGGGCAGCCCCCACATTTCTGGGGAGGGGCGGGAGCTGGCCCTGTGAGCAGCCTGCAACTCCCTTCTCTCCCTTGCTCCCTCTGCCATCTCCCCAAAAGAGAGGCGCAGTGACATGGCCCACCATCCGACCTTCCGGAAAATCTACTGTGACGCTGTTCCTTACCTGTTCAAGAAGGTGAGGCACAGCCCTCGGGCACTTCTCATCTTGGCCACAGGCCCATTCCAGGCCTCACGACCCCGGGGTGTTCCTTTCCCTCCCTGTTTCCTTCCCAGGCCTGTGGCAGATGAGGCCAGCTCCCTCCACCCTCCACCTGGGCCACCCAGTTTCCCCACTGCCCCATTCCTTTAAGGTTCGAGCTGTCTACACGGAAGGTGGTTGGTTTGAGGAGGGGATGAAACTGGAAGCCATTGATCCCCTGAATCTGGGCAACATCTGCGTGGCAACCATCTGCAAGGTGAGCCTGGGCCTGGCCCTGTAGCTTCTAGGGTGGCTTTCGGGAGCCGGTGAGGTAGCACAGAGGCCTTCACGTCCGTCCGCCCTTCCCCACTCTGGCTGCTCTGGGAGTGCCGCACCTCTGAGAGTAGGGGTCTTACCTGCTTCTTGCCCAGAATCAACTTTCGTGTCAGGTCCCAGGCGCGTTGGAGAGGTGCTTATTGAACACCTGGCCTGAGCCTGGTCCTGTGTCGGGTGTAGGCCCCGCCCTGTCAACCTCCCTGGGGGCCTTCCCACTACCACACGTCCTCTCCTTCGAGTGGCGGCCTGGCCAGGAGCCATGGCTGTGCTGACTTCTCTGCACGCCACCTCCATTATTGCTGTGGCCTGAGCAAGTGACTCCACCTTGGCCCCCCTGGGGACATGCTGATTTGTGCATCCAGCCAATCCTCTCCAGGCTGGGCCTGTGTGCTCACCACCAAAAACACTGGAAAAGACAGACATAGTCCCTGCGGGAACAGCATTTGCTGTCTAGTGAGGAAAGTAAAGAGCCTCATGAGTATGAGGCTCATGAAGTATGAGACACCCAGCGGTGTTGAGTGCTCGGAAGCAGAAGCTCAGGGAAGGCTGAGCTCTAACTCCCGTTGGATCCATCTGCCTCGTGTCCCCACCATGGCCACCTTATCCTGGGATGGGGGTGCAGTTCATGATACCATGGTGTCTGCCTGCCCCCGCCCCTCCCCCCCACCACTAGGTTCTCCTAGACGGCTACCTGATGATCTGTGTGGATGGGGGGCCCTCCACAGACGGCTCAGACTGGTTCTGTTACCATGCCTCCTCCCATGCCATCTTCCCAGCCACCTTCTGCCAAAAGAATGACATTGAGCTCACACCCCCAAAAGGTAAGACAGTCCTCATAGTCGGAAATGGCAGAGTGTGCCCACAGGCCCAGATTCCTGCCCAAGCCAGACCCTGGGCCTTGGAGTCTTAGAGTGGATTGGAGAGCTATCAGAGCCACCCAAGACAACACCACCAGCCCTTACGCTGGGCTGACTTAGCTCCATGGCTAATGGGTGTCTGGGTGAGCAGAGCTCCCACTTGTTCCTTTAGGCAGTGAACAACCCGTACGACAGGACCAGGGTCCTAGAGCAGGTACCAGCCTGGGGAGGAGGGAAGAAGGCTGCTGGGGAGACTCCGGGCCGGGGCCTGACCCAGCTACAGGTGCCCATTTGGCCCGTGCTCCTCTCCTAGACTCCCTCCTGCCTTCCCTCCTTTCCCTCCAAATCTATGTTTTCTGCTCCTCCAGGCTACGAGGCACACACTTTCAGCTGGGACACCTACTTGGAGAAGACCAAGTCAAAAGTAGCTCCGTCGAGACTCTTTAACATGGTGAGGAGAGGGCGCCTGGGTGGCTCAGTTGGTTAAGCGACTGCCTTCGGCTCAGGTCATGATCCTGGAGTCCCGGGATCGAGTCCCGCATCGGGCTCCCCGCTCAGCGGGGAGTCTGCTTCTCCCTCTGACCGCCCCCCCCATGTGCTTTCTCTCTCTCAAATAAATAAATAAAATCTTAAAAAAAAAAAAAAAACATGGTGAGGAGAGCGAGGAAGCACGGGGCCTCGGGTGGCCCTGCCTGCTGTCAGCGGTGTTAGTTCCAACCCCCTTCTCCTTCCTTGAGTCTGGACGGTGGAGACCAGCTGCTTTAGGGGATAAGTCCCAAACCCTGCCATAGGCATTCTGCCAAACAGTCCAGCCTGCTCCCTTTCCCGGAGGGGCTGGTGCTGGGAACAGAGAGCAGTGGGACCACTGCCAGGGGACACGTCCCCACGGGCACTCCCAACCCACTCCCTCTCCCCAGTTCGGCCCCACTGGGGCAGGGAGCTGGCTGCCTTGGTCACTGCGTCTCCCCACTCCCCAGGACTGCCCCAACCACGGCTTCAAGGTGGGCATGAAGCTGGAGGCCGTGGACCTGATGGAACCCCGGCTCATCTGTGTGGCCACGGTGAAGCGGGTGGTGCACAGGCTCCTCAGTATCCACTTCGATGGCTGGGACAGCGAGTATGACCAGTGGGTGGACTGTGAGTCCCCGGACATCTACCCCGTCGGCTGGTGCGAGCTCACCGGCTACCAGCTCCAGCCACCGGTGGCCGCAGGTCTGGGCTCCCGCGGCCCCAGGGGACTCTTGACCTTCCTTTTCTTTTTCCTTCCTGCCAACCACTCCCCTGCCCCCTACCTGCCTCATTCCTTGGCATGAGACCCAGAAGTCTCCTGGACCACTTCTAATGAGAGCGGCCCTCGGGCCCCCACCCCCCACTCCTGACCTGCCTGCCTCTCCCTCCGGCCTGCAGAGTGCCCTCCTTGACCTTGCCCACCCTGTCTGTGCTCATGCCCGTGTGCACCAGGTAAACCGCCCAGGCGACAAGGGTGGGGAGAAGGGACAGCCGCTCCCCGTCCCTCCTCCATTCTCATTGCCCAACTTTGGCTTTCCTTCTTGAGGTGTCCTGTGTGTAAGGGAGGCTGGTGAGGTGTCGGGGGGGCTCTCGGTCTGTGCCTGAACCGTGTCCTCTTCAAACTCTCTTGTTACCTTTTGCCCTCGTCTTTCAACAACAGAGCCGACCACACCTCTGAAGGCCAAAGAGGCCACAAAGAAGAAAAAGAAACAGTTTGGGAAGAAAAGTAAGTGATGCTGTCAAGCAGCCAGGCTGATGTGGGACTTGGAGCAGCTGGGCCTGTGTCTTTGGGAGCAGAGGGGGGTCACCATGCAGGTAGCACTCTTCACGGTCCCTCCGTCTCCTCTCCTTTGCCCTTCGGCCCCAGCGGGCCTGTCAGCCTTTGTCTCAAGGGACCCGAGCACAAAGAGGGAGCCTTCCGTCTCTGGCAGTGGTCAGGATCCCAAGGAAAAAAGGCAAGAGATGCCATTTATAAGAGAGAAAAGGGGGAGGGATGCCCATCCCTGCTGCCCTGTGGTCAGAAGTCAGCCCGGCCCCACGGCCGCCCCGGCAGTGCACAACTGCTGTTTGAAAGTAAGATGTTTGGGGCTGGCAGTTTCTCCTCAAGCCTCTCGTTCTTCTCTTGGGACCCTCAGGGGTAGGAGCTTCGGTGTCATTTCCTTAGGCGGGGCCCCAGTCTTTAACAGGTCCTGAGCCCTGTGCGGGCTCAGCTTGCGGGGACGGCAGGTGGAGTGGGGCGGGGAGGGGGGGAGGTAAAGCCATCCTTCAGAGCTGCCGGCCTGTGGCAGCAAGATGGGCTCCGTGAGGTGGCACCACACAGAGAAGAGGTTGTCCAGAAACAGGACAAGGAGGAAGCAGATGCGGTCCCTGGGCAGGATCAGGTTTGAGCTGATCGTGTGGGCAGGCCCTGTGCCGTCCACAGTGGTGGGGCTGGGAACGGCACTTCACAGGTGAGGAAAGGAAGGAAGCTCAGCAAGCACACCCAGGGGAGACGAGCTCTCGGAGGCTCGGGCACACAGTGCCGAGGGGCAGCGTCAGAGTTCACACTCTGTTCCCCCACGTTGGCACCTGCCCCTCCAGTACACTGCCTCTGCTCACCGCTAGATGCCCCCCTACCGTCGAGCCTCCCATGGATACAGCCCTGTGCTGGGTTTCTTTTTTTCTTTTTCTTTTTCTTTTTTTAAAGATTTTACTTATTTATTTGGCAGAGAGAGATACAGCGAGAGAGGGAACACAAGCACGGGGAGTGGGAGAGGGAGAAGCAGGCTTCCCATGGAGCAGGGAGCCCGATGCGGGGCTCGATCCCAGGACCCTGGGACCATGACCTGAGCTGAAGGCAGACGCTTAACGACTGAGCCACCCAGGCGCCCCTTCTGTGCTGGGTTTCATTCTGTTTTTATTCAAAGGGAAAAGAATACCACCGACCAAGACCCGGCCCCTCAGACAGGGGTCCAAGAAGCCCCTGCTGGAGGATGAGCTGCAGGCCGCAGAGAAGATCTCACCGGATCCTGTTCCTGAAGAGAGTAAGAGCCTCCCGGGCAGGGTCAAGCCAGGGCCGGACTGCTCCAGTGCTCAGAGGCAGCCCTTCTCCCCCACCTGGGCACAGAAGAGGAGAGTCCAGTGTGAAGGGACTTTTCCGGGCACCAAGCAGTCCTTCTCAGACCATTGGGCCTGGAGAGCTTCCCAAACACCCACCCCACCTCTGAACGGAGCCACACATCTCCAGCCGGGCCCTCTCCATCTCGCCGCCTGCCCCACGGGGGGAAGGTGCCGTTCCCACCTCCCCGCCACATCCCGGGGGCCCCCATTTGTAGGGAGCCAGAGGCCCCGCCCTTCCCAGAGTTTCACGCACACTCACTCTGTTCTCCAACCGCCCCCCCTTCCTCTTTAGTCATTGCCGTGCGCGTGAAGGAAGAACATCTAGACATGGCCACGCCGGACAAAGCCCCGAGTCCAGAGCTGCCTGTTCCCCTCGAGAACATCAAACAGGAGACAGACGACTGAGCCTTCCCCACTGCCAGCCCGGGGCTCCTCTGTTGCTACCACCCTTACCCCTGCTTTAGTTTGGAGACTGAGCCTTTTTGCCTAAGTTCTGCCAGGTGCTGTGAGGGCCGGGCACCGAGGGACCTCTGCCCTCCTCTGGCCAGGCCTGCGTGACTGGGGCTGCCCGAGGCCTCCAGATTTGTCTGTGAGCGACTCCTTCTCCAGCTACAGTTCCCAAAGCTCTTCCTCACAGTAACTCCCCTCCACACCCACATACCCCTCAACTGCCATGGGGTCGGGGGCTGCCCCCAGTCCTACTGGAAGACGAGTCCGAGCGGCGTGTATGGGTGTGTCCGAGCGAGTCCTTTAACAGGCTTGGAGCGGCTCTGGCGGGGGAGCCAGCCGCAGGTTGGTGGTGAGTGGTGTGGTGGGTGCCTGAAAGCAGCCACGGGGAGCAGCCTCTCACCTCTGGGCTTGGCGCTCCGCTCCTCCCAGCACCCTAGGGAGGCCCGGGAACCCCGTGCGCGCGCCCACCTCTGGCAGGCAGCTAAGCAGCAGTGACCAGGAGGCAGGTTCTGGTGACTTGACAGGTGGCCTTAACCTGGTTTCTCTGTTGGCAAGAGGACTGACCCCTATTTCCTAAAACGAACAGTGGAATAGAGGTGGGGCCTGCCCCTGGCTAGGGGGCTTGCACCATGTGGGGAGGCTTGGGGGCGAGGGGCCGCAGAGGTGGCAGGACTGGAAGGCAAGGCCAGGGCGAGGGGGAGAGGGGGCCCCCGCTGGACGGGGGACCACTGCCAGCTTTGCGCTTAACCTGCTCTGAGCCCAGCTTGGCCGGGACCTGTCCTTTCACCGCCTTCCCCCTGTTAACCAGGGTCAGGTGCAGCCCTGCCTGGGAGTCACGGGGCGGGGGGCGGCCAGCCCTGCTGGCTGAGGCGGCCCTGAGGAAGGGAGGAGAGGGTAACAGGACACGCTTCCTGGCTCTCTGTCCTTCACTGTCCATCCTCCTCTCTGAAATTAAATTCTAGAAGCTCCCCTAGTGTCTGCCCAAATTTCAGTAGCTTTTATTCTTCCCAGTTAGTCTCCTTGGAAACTGTCTCCTCTTTCTGTCTCTTCAGTAACTTCTCCCGGAACGTGAGGTGGAGGCAGGCTGCCCTTACTTCTTGTCTCTGGGTGGAGACGCACCGCCAGGTGGGCCCCGTGTCGTCCCCCACGTGACACGGCTGTGCCGCCGCGGGCGTCCAGCTACACTCTCTGAGCTGGTCTGTCAGGCTGCCGCTGCCCGTGCTTGCTGGGCGGGGTGCTGGCCGCGCGCTTGCTCGGGACGCGGGCTGATGGGGTGACCAGCCCAAGGGGAGCTGATTTCCAATTATGTTTTTCCAGAGAGAACTTGATCCTCACTCCTTTACTAAAGGCACTAGAAAGCCCCACATGGTGTAGAAAACCAGGCCCAGAAAGCAGTCGGTTGGTGCAGCCTGAACTCCCCCAAAAAGTGACTAGATTTGGAACATAGTGAAGATCAGTGACAGGTCAATAACCTCAGCCCCCAGGGGAGAAAGATGGCCTGGGTACGCATTTGGGCTCACAGTGTACCTGTGGAGCTCTTGCAGGCTCCTGCTCCCAGCCGAAGCTAGTGCCTCGTCCCCAGACCCCTTGCAGTTCGGGGATCCCGTTCTGACTGGAGCTTCTGGGAAAACTGGGCTTGGATGGCATTGTAACCTTCAGTTCCTTCCTCCTGAATGAAGTGAGGCCTGCCTGTGCCCTGATGAGGATGGCAGGGTCGGAGGACTGGCCGCCCCGGACTTCCTGAAGTCCTTCCGTCAGATTTCCGTTTCTTAGAGCTGAGTGTATTCTCATCTGTCACCTCCTGTGAAGGCTGGGTTCACACATGAGCACAATGAATAAATGGCCTCATTTGAGCGCCCCATCTCCATAGCAACCACACTGTGGGTTACCCGTATTTGCGTCTCTGCCGTTCCTCTCCTGCAAGACCCTGAGCTCCCCAGGGGCCGAGCCCGGGCCTGGTCTGCCGCAACAGCCTGGTACTAAGCCCCATGAGTGTGTGACCTGAAAATACGTAACTTGTGTTGCTGGGGCCGAAAGATCTACTTATTCATCACAGATGGAAGTGTGGGCTTCTTGGAGGTTTTCACTCCGGGCACAGGACCAACTTTGTACCTCACTTGCCCTTGGAGCGAACCGGAGAGCTTGGAGTCCAGCCGGGGGTGGGGGTTGCTGCTGGTTATGAGACCTCCTGAAGAATCGTTTCCATTCCCTGTGCCCGCCGCTCCATGACCGGCAGTGGCTCTCTGGTGCAGATGAGACCAAGTGCAAATGCACACACCTTTCCTTTACTGTTCCCCAGTCTAGACACAGTTCAGCTTCACAGGAACCCTGAGGTACAAATTGACTTCATCTTACCAGAGTTTAGTAACTTGTTTGCTTAAATTCACAACTGTTAAATGACAGCAGCAGGATTAAACCCAGGGTGGTCTGCCATATTACCACCAGTAGGTACTCTTCATTCATTCAGTGTCCTTTCTGAAGAATCTTCCACATGCCAAACAGCACGCTAGAGGTTGGGCCTCAAAATTGCAATGCATGCGTGCTCCTGCCGTGGCCGTGAGCAAGGTGAGCACGCCCAGAACGGGACTCAGGGCCCTATGTGATCCTCGAGGTCAGGGTCCTTTTTTTTTTTTTTTTTAAGTAGGCTCCATGCCCAACGTGGAGTTGAGATCAAGTGTCATGCTCAAAAAAAAAGTCACATACTCTACCAACTGAGCCAGCCAGGCACCCAGGGCCCCTATCAATTCCTTCATATTCCTGGGAGGAAACTGCCACTTTAAGCAAAAATGAAAAACCTATAACCCCAGGGCTAGCATTCGGTGGACGATCTCCATGTCCAAAAGGGTGGCTGGATGGAATGGTCTCAGATGTACCAATTCCTGCTGCAGCCAGCATACCACGGGAGTCAGGGTGCGGGGTCTTCCCTTTCATCCAAAGCCCTGACCTGCAGCCGGCCCCATCAGCGCTGTGCTCAGCATCCACGTGAGCTTCCGGGGCTGCCGCAGGGGGAGAGCACGACCGCTCTTCATCAGCGCCACCTGGCAGGACGTGTCCGCGGCCATTAATGCCGTTGTCATTACTGCTAGTTCCAGATCTGACCTCTAAGACACCATTGCTCACCTTCAGCTTGGGGTCTTTCTAGGAGTTCCTTCCTCCCAGCCTACCGGACAAGGAACACTTAGGAAGTTAATTGCCGCCCCCCCCCCCCAAAGAAGACATACCTCAGAATGAGGCCTTACTCGGAAAAAGGGTCTTCACAGAGGTAATCAAGTTAGAACAAGGTCATCGGGGTGGGCCCTTAATGCAATATGACCCCTGTCCTTCTAGAAAGAGGGAATTTGGAAGCAGGAAGATGGGACGGGGGGACACGCCATGTGAAGTCAGGCAGAGACTGGAGTTGTGCGGCCACAAGCCAAGGCACATCTGGGGCCACCAGAAGCTGGAAGGGGCTCAGAAGGCTCTCCCCTGCAGCCTTCAGAGGGGGCACAGCCCTGTGGACACCTTGCTCTCCGGCTTCTGAGAACAGTGAGACAAAAATGTGTGTCGTCCTAAGCCACCCGGTTTGTGGTCCTTTTTCACGGCGGCCCCCGGGCGCTGCTACACCATCTCATGGTCCCCAGGCACCCAAGTCCTGCGAATGCCGGTCCAGGCGCAGGCTGAGCCCTGTCCTTGTCTTACCAGGACCCACTTTTCTGTTCTCATTTTCCCTCTCAGGACTGGCCTCACCTCCCTGTGCCCTCACCACACAGCAGGGGTTCCCGCATGCAAGGCCCCCCCGTATCCTGCTCGCCCTTCACTGCGTGCTGCACAGTTTCACTACAGCCAAGGGCTCAAGGACGTGAACGTAAATGCCAGGCGGGTGATGGGACACCGCAGAACAGGGGCCAGCGTGCGGCTGACGAGCCCCGGGAGGCGTCGGCAACAGCGCCTGGGCCTCTGCTCTTTCTGTCCCAGGGGTGAGCCAGGCCCTCGAGGCCAGGAGGGGGTGAGGCAACAATGATCCAGCAAATATGGTAACAGCGGCATTGCTTTTAGGAACACGTTGGGTCCAGGTATCCTGTGGCTTCTCGGAAAGGCCACTGTCCCACAGGATGTAGTCATTTCCTCATACACCCACCTGGGCCCAGCCAGGGGTGGAGGAGGTGAGGAGCAGGGACAGATATTACGGCAGGGAAGCAACGAGTCATTGCCCAGATCTGGAACCACATGAATTAGGACCGAGAGACATCAGATTCCTGCTCCCCTGGGCTCTTTGGAACCTGACCCACCCACCGAGGCCTCCCCACAACCTGCCTCAGGCCAACCTTGTCTGCTGTCCACCGTCATCCCTTCCTGCGGGTTCTCCTGGCACTGGACCTGGGGGTGGGCGTCCGCTTGGCCTTCCTGGCAGCCCAGCCAGGGCAGGTTTCAAAGATAGCAGTTGCAGCCTTCACCCTCTGGCCATGGGCGCTGGGAGGGGCGGCACAGACGGCCCCCACACGCAGGTTCAGCCCCATGAGCCACCTGAGGAGAGGAGAGAGTTCAGGGACCCCGCTGTGCTGAGCCTTCCTGAGGGACGCGAGGAGGTCCTCGGGAACTGGGGGGCCGTGGAGCCTGGTGGGCGAGGGCGGACTCTGGAGGGAATCCTGGCTCAGCCCCTCACCAATTAGGGGACTCAGAATGAGTCACTTCAATCCTCAGATCCCATCTCCGTAAAAAGGGGATAGTAATAGTAATAAATAGAGACAGAGAGCTCAGGGTGCTCCAGACACTGTTCAAATCAATCTATATATGCGAGCTGACAGTGTCATCCCCACGAAGAACCCCCACGAGGTGGACATGATTCCTTCCGTCCCCTTTACAGATGAGGGAATGGCACAGAGAAGGCGTGGGGCCCCGAGTTAGTCGCACAGCAGGATTGGAGCCCAGCTCTGCTGGACTCCAGGGTTCCTGGTGCTTTCTTATGAAATTAATGAAGTGCCCACAAATATTTATTAGGTCCCGCCCCACTAGGCTGGGAGGATTGCATTCCCACGTGATGGGTGAA